TATGTGTATATATATTTGTATATATGGGTATTCCAGAATAGAAACTTCAGAATAATTAATTGTGCTCATGAGAAATCTGAACATAGACCAAGAGGCAGTTGTTGTAACAGAACAAGGGATACTGTGTTAGGCCCCCTAGTGGCCTAATCTAGTTGTTGTTGTTGTTAAGTGCCGTCAAGTCGGTTCCGACCCATAGCGACCCTGTACAGGGTTTCCGAGGGTGTAAATCTTTACGGGAGTAGAAAGCCTCATCTTTCTCCCGTGGAGCAGCTGGTAGTTTCGAACCACTGACCTTAAGGTTTGCAGCCCGATTCGTAACCACTACGCTACCAGAGCTCCAGAGCTCCTTGGCCTAATCTAGTAGGAGACCCCAAAAGATCAACAAGACTTGAGTTCGATGCAATAGCAAGAGGTTTATTTCCAGCGCGCTGGGGTCCACCTTCACAGACTCCTAAATCAGGAGACAAAGGCAACCTTTGCCAACGCGCTGGGGTCCACCCTCACATAGACTCCTGAAAACAGGAGCTGAAGACGACCCCCTATTGTGTTACATACCAGTTTTTACAGGGTTCTAGGGGGCAAAATTGTACAGCACTATAGATATAGTTTCTGATTGGTTGATATTTGGCAAAGTATGAGATGTTACCGTTTAATTGGTCTTGGCATGAAGCAAGCTTTTTAATCTATAAGCAGATGGGTTTTGGCAATTGAAAGTGTGTTTAGTGTTTAGGATATTCTCATTTGTCTGGGTCAGTCTGACCTTTATGAGTTTCTCAAGGATTATTTTGATATTGAGGGCTAAACTGATTGACCTTGTCTCTGGAGAGAACTAAAAAAAAACTGAAACCTTGTCTTCCCAAAATGTTTTCTGAAGCCTGACTAAAGTTTAGTCAAGTGATCTCTAGTTAGGCATAATCAGTTGGGGCCTTACAACTGAATGGTTAAAATCAGGAGTGTTGTGTGCCAGGGTTGTATTCTTTCATAGTACTTATACAATCTGTGTGCTGAGTAAATAATCTGAGAAGACAGAATATATGAAGAAAAACATAACATCCAGATTGAAGGAAGATTCATTATGTGGAAGAGAAGAGGATTTACAATTCTTACCAATCAAAGATGACAACCTGCAGTATGAATTGCAAAACAAAAATCCTGACAACTAGACCAATAACTGACATCATGATAAATAAAGACAAGATCTACTCTGTGAAAGACTTTATTTTGTCAAGATCTACCATGAACATTAATGGAATCAGCAGTCAAGAAATCAAAGAATTTACTGCATTTGCATAAATTGGTGATAAAAGACCTCTTCAGTGTTAAAAAGCAAAGATGTCAGTTTGATGACTGAAGTAAGCCTGCTCCAAACCAAGGTTTTTCCAATCGCCTCATATGCATGTGAAATTGGGAAATGAATAAGGAAGACCATAGAAGACTTGGTCTGGATGAAGAATACTGAAACTTTCACCAACTTCCAAAAGAGAAAAAAAATCTGTCTGGGAAGTGTTTCATTCTATTGTGCAAAGGGTCACTATGAGTCAGAAGCAACTACACTGCACCTAACAAAAGCAACAATATATACACATATATGTCAGCCATTCCTTGAAAACCCTGTACAGGAGCTATGAGTCAAAACTGACTCAATGCAACTTAACAACAAATATATATATTCATACACACAAGAATCCTGATGTGGCACTACAGTCCTGATAAGCACTAGACTGATTGCAAGTTTGGTTTGAATCTCAAGGTCGGTGATTCAAACTTACTAGCCGTTCCTAAGAACTCCTATACTGGGTTGTTATGAGTCGGAACTGATCATGGAATAAATGAAATTAAAAGTTAGTGGAAGTTTACTTCAAATTTTTGAAGTTCCCTTTATTTGTGTGTATTTCAAAATTAAAAACAACAAGTATAAATACTGCATATGTATATATATATATATATATATATATATATATGAATTTTTAAATAACTTTAGAAAATAGTAAAACATAATTTTGATTTCAAAGATTCAAAGAAATTATTCAATACTTTTAAATGTGTGGAAATAGTTTTAATCCAAAAACAGAAGTTACATTTCCTTTTGAACAAAGACCATAATTTTGCAGAAATAACAATTTATAAATGAAAACCTTGTTTATTACCTAAATGAACACCACATTTGTTGTTGTTGCTGTTGTTAAGTCCTGTTGAGACAGTTCCAACTCATAGTAACCTTGCCTAGGATTTCCAAGGAGCATCTTGTGCATTTGAACTGCCGACCTTATGATTCATAATCTAATACTGATCCTTCAGCACTGTATCAGAAGTCCTATAACATGTAGTAACCACTAAAACTATTTAAAAATCTAATATAACGAAAAAATATCTTAAATAATCTCTGGATAGCACATAAAATTAAAACTATAATATTTTAAAATGTAAGAAAAATTTTAATATGAAATAAAATATTAGCAATCTACCGAACAACAATTAATGGGATACTCCAGTCCTGAATTCATTATCAAGACAGCTTTGACCAACAGACAGTTTTAAAGTAAGTGAGTGAGCATTTAAACTGATGCTTTGTTTTTAAAGAACTTAGAGCTAGAGCTTCTGGTTTGGCACTGTAGAATCAGCACTGGACTGCATACCACAAGGTCAGCAGTTCAAACCCACCAGATGATCCTTGGACACACAATACAGGGTCGCTATGAGTTGGAACAAAAATGACAGCTCTAAACAAAATACAACACACAGCCTATAGAATTCAGGGTGAAGAAAATCAGTTTTTGAAATACATAGTTCAATTTAGAGAGACTTGTTACACATCACAAGGTGTGTGCCGAGGTTCTATTCTTACTATTTTACAGTATATATGCTGAGCAAATAACCCTAGAAGCTGGATTATATGAGAAATATGTAGCATTAGGATTGGAGGAAGATTCATTAACAACCTGCAATGTGCAGATGATGCAACTCTGCTTGCTGAAAGGGAAGAGGATTCAAAATGTTTATTGATGAACATCAAAGGTCAAAACCTTTCGTATGGTTTGTATCTCAATGTAAAGAAAAGAAAAATCCTCACCACTGAACCAATAAATAACATCCATATAATTGGAAAAACGATTGAAGTTCTCAAAGACTTCATTTTGCTCAGGTCGACTACCAACACTCATGGAAGCAATGTCGAGAAATCAAAAGATGTATTGCCTAGGCAATCCGCTGTAGAAGACGTCTTTAAAGTATTCAAGAGCAGGGATGTCAGTTTGAGAACTCAGGTGTGCCTGACCCAATCCATGATATTTTCAATAACCTCATATGCACACAAAAGTTGAAGAATGACTAAGGGAGACCATAAAATAATTGATGTAATTGAGTTATGATGTTGGAGGAGAATATTAAAATACAATGGATAGCCAAAAGAATAAAGAAATCTGTGCTGTAAATAGTACAGATAGAATGCTCCTTAGAAACCAGGATGCACAGACTTTATCTCTCTTACTTCAGACATCTTATTATGATGCATCAGTTTCTGGAAGAGGACATCTTACTTGGTAAAGTGGAGGGTTAGGAATAAAGGGAAGACTCCCAGTGAGATGGATTGGAACAGTGGCAGCAGTAGTGGGCTCAAGTGTACCAAGAATTATGAGGTTGGCACTGAACGGGGCAGTGTGTCCTTCTATTGTACGTAAGGTTGCTCTGAGTTGATCCAGAGATGATGATTTCTAACAACAACAATCAACTAAGGAATTAACTAATGTTATACTGGTATGTGAAAACACAAAGCAACAGAATGCAGAATTATTGTTTATCTATGAAACAAATGTGCACACTCAAAGCTATTATAATAGAGGAATATGATCAAAAGTCTAGAATGATTAGGACATTTCTTTATTATTATTATACACATTTTTTTTCACAGTGTAACATGTACAATTTATTACACTGAATTATAGGAATCCTGGTGTGGTAGCATAAAACACTGGAGTTCAAAGTTAGTTTGAACCACAAGGTTGCAGACCATACTCAGCAGCCACTCCTGAGACACCGTATTTGGAGTTAGTATGGGTGAGAACCGACTGAAAGTGCGTTTCAAGAACATATGATAATTATATTGTAAAACATACTTACTTCATTATCAGTCCATAAATGTAAAGGGCTGAGTTTATAATAATCACTATTCATTCTTTAACTATTTGTATATAATTTATTTTACCCCAAAATAATTTAAAAAACACCAGTGTATATTCTTCATAATAAAGAAAATTGTGTGTTCATAATATTGCAACAAAGGAGAACTTCCAAATGATTCCAGGGTTGTGATCTATAAAGAAGCAGACAGCCACATCTTACTCTCTCAGTACCTGATTTATTCACATCTCTGTACTTTAAGTGCCACACCTCCTGGGCTCCTTAAGTTTTCAAATATATACATATTCTAATAGTAATGAGGAACATTTATTAGCAATGTCTAAAAAGCTTTATTTTTTATTTTTTTGAGATTTAAACTTCAGTACAATTCTAGAGGGAGTCCTGGTGTGGAGCTGTGGTTTAATGCTCTGGACTACAAAGTTGGTTAGGACCTCAATGTCGGTGGTTCAAACTCAACAGCTACTCCTCAGAAACCCTATACAAGTTCGCTATGGGTCAGAACCAACTAGACTGTACTTAACATAATCAACAAAATAATTCTAGGGAACAAAAATGAATATATATTTTTCTCAGTTAACAAACAAAAATCCTTAGAGTAATACTAAGTTACTAGGGCATGCTCAAAGGGTAACTGACCTAGAATCTAAAACCTGAAATCTCTAAATGTAAAACAAGGACTCTTAACCATTGTGCTAGAAACATCTTCTCTGTATAATACATCCAATAACTAGTGACACTGTTTTAGTTGTGTGAAAATACAGCAATCATCCAAAACAGAAACAGAATAATTCAAAGATAAAATTGTTTTAAGAGAGAAGTATCAAAGGCATACCCAGCATGACTTTACATATTTAACATCACTGTCATCTGAAATTCCTGGTGATCCCTCTCTTCTGCATAACTCTAAGGAAAGCATTTTTCACTTCTTTATTCCTAAGACTATAAATGAGTGGATTCAGCATGGGGATCACAATAGTATAAAAAACTGAGGCCACTTGGTCTTTGCCCAAGGAGTAAGACCTACTAGGCTTTAAGTAAGTGAAAATCATGGAAGCATAAAAGATGGTGACTCCTAGGAGGTGGGAGGCACAGGTAGAGAAGGCTTTTCTCTTTCCTGATGTAGAATTGATTTTCAGGATAGCAGAGAGAACGGACACATAGGACACAGAGACTATGATGAGAGATGCCACTAAAGTGGATCCAGCAAGAACGAATACTATGATCTCAACATTACGTGTGTCAGTGCATGAGAGGGCTAATACTGGGGCTGTGTCACAGAAAAAGTGGTGGATTACATTGGATTTACAGAAATGCAAGGTGCTCATACCAAGCACAGTGGCAGTGGAATCAATAAAGCCAATCATGCAGGATGCAGTGATGAGGGAGCAACAGAGCGCAGTGGACATAATAACTGGGTATTGTAGAGGTTTGCAGATAGCTACATAGCGATCATAGGCCATTGATGAGAGAAGAAAACATTCAATGCCAGCCATGAAGATAAAAAAATACATCTGGCTAAAGCAACCACCAAATGAAATATGTTTGGTGGAAGTCAATAAGTTCTCTAAAGTTTTAGGAGTAATGACCGTTGAATAACTGAGATCAAGAAATGACAAGTGGCTGAGGAAAAAATACATGGGGGTGTGCAGCTGGAGATCCAGGCGAATGATCAGTATCATCCCTGCATTCCCCAGCACAGTAACCAGGTATATCAGAAGAAAGAGATTAAAGAGGACCAGCTGGATTTCGTTAGAGTCTGTCAATCCCAGGAGGATAAAGTCAGACACATTTGTTTCATTCCTTCTGTTCATAGTGTACAACGTCTCTAAACTGTAGGAGAGATTAAAGTTAGTAATTAGCATCAGTGATTTCACACTGGTTTTTGTTTATATGAATGATCTGACGCTTAAAAAGATACAGTTTTCTCTTTCCAGAAGTAAATAATTAAGAGTAGTTTACAAAATATAACTGAACAAAATCTTAATTTTATTACCATATATAAAGATGGTTATAAGAAGACATTGAATACTGCATAATAAAAAGTAACATACATTATGTAAATAGAATTAAAATACCAATATTCTCAGTACTTCCCTTTATTAACAACTTTGGTGGTGGTGGTGATTTTGTGTCTTGGAGTCTATTTTAATTCGTAGTGACCCTGCATAAGGTTTCCAAGGCAATAAATCTTTACAGGAGTAGAAAGCCTCAGCTTTCTCTTGTGGAACAGTTGATAGTTTTGAACTACTGACCTTGATGTTAGTAGTCTGATCACAGCTACTGTACTACAACTTTAAACCCCAGGAAACATTATACCATGGTTTTTACTGTTTAACACATTTTTTTTTTTTCTTTAGACACACTTTTAATGCAGAAAATTGTCAGGAGTTTAAATAACTCATCCAAAGCCACAGGCAGTAAATGTTGGCTCAGTGATTCTACCATGGTTGGCTTATTACAGGAAGCATGCTCTTAACACTATATTCTTAATTATAATTAATTTTGGCATCTTGAAAAAATCAGACATGTGTGGTAAGCAATGATATAATTAGTTTTAATAATCTTTTACTATACTTTTTCTCCAATATTTTTTAATACTGCTGAAAAATAAATATTAATCTGATTTCTTTACTATGGTGTAATAAATACATAAACCATAGAGTATTTATGTGAAGAAGGCATTTTATTTGCTCACAAATTGGCATCAAATTTCTCAGAAAGTTACATTTTGTAAACATGAATACTGCTCACACACTACCTACTGCATCTATCAGCTCTTAATATGTGTTTCCTCAAATACCAGCTTATGTGTCAAGAAAGGGAGTCCTGGAGATGCACCTTAGGATAAGCATTTGACATTAAGGTCATTTGAACCACAAAGTTAGTAGTTCAAACTCACCAGTCGCTCCTCAGAAAGCCTATACAAAGTCACTTTGTATGAGAATCAATTCTAAGGCACATAAAAACAATAAATATGGAGAGAGATAAAGTCAAATGCATCTATACTTTTTATATACTTAAATGTATATCTTCTAATTGTTGCTGTTAAGTGCTGTCCAGTCAAGTCCTATCCGTAGAGGCCTTGTATAGGGTTTCCAAGGAGCAGCTGGGTTGCAGTTCAAACAGCTTTGCAGTCTGGCACATTAACCCACCATGCCACACCAGTATGTCAAATTTATATTTTACTATCTAGATCTATGGAGTCCTGGTGCAGGGCTGTGGGTTAATACGCTGGACTGCAAAGTTGGTTTGAACCACAAGGTCAGCTGTTGAAGCTCACCAGCAGCTCCTGGGAAACCCTATACAGGGTTGCTTTGAGTCGAAACTGACTGGACAGCACTTAACAACAACAGTCTGGTTATATGGAAACCTGGTGAGGCTCTTTAGGATAAACCATGAAATTACAAGGTCAGTTTGAAGCACAAAGTCTGTAGCTCAAACCTGCCAGCCGCTGCTGGGAAACCCTAAATAGGATCACTGACTAGACAACACTTAACAACAACAACATCTATATATATGGACATTCATATGCAGTTCTGATGTGGCATTACAAGACAAGCACTGTACTGCTAATGACAAAGTTGGCCGTTCAAACCCACCAGCCCCTCCTTCACACCCCCTTCTCTCAGAAATCATATACAGGGTGACTATGTGTCAGAACTCACGGGACAGCACTTAACAACATCAACAAGTTAAATATCAATGATAAGGAGCCAACTCAGCAATCTTGTGTAAGGATTCTGAAGAGCAACTTGTGGGTTTGAACCACTGACCTTGTGGTTATCTATTTAGTGCTTATCCTAGAGCTCGGTCTTGGTGTTGCACTACACAAAAGGTTAGCTGTTCAAACTCATCCTCTGCATCTCAGAAACCCTATACAGATTGCTACGAGTTGGAACCAACTAGATAGCACTTGACTTCTGTCAAGTTGGTTCCAATCCATTGTGACCCTGTATAGGATTTCCAAGGAGCAACTGGTGAGCTTGAACCACCAACCTTGTAGTTCAAACAGCTTTGCAGTCAGATGCATTAACTCATGGAGCCACTCCAGGACTATATATATATATATAAACTGTTATCTGATATGACTTAAACCAAATGAAAATCGTTGCTATCAAGATGGCTCTGACTCCTACATATCCTATAGTACAGAGTAGAACTGTCTTATAGGGTCTCCAAGGCTGTCATCTTTTGTAAACCACCTGCCCAATCTTCTCCAATAGAGCATCTGGTGAGTTCAGGCTGCTGACCTGGTTAGCAGAGAGCACTTAACTGAGCCATCAGGGTTCCTTGATTAGATATGAAACTTGCAAATTTTGAGCATAATACTTACCAGAGGCAAAGGTGATGGAAACTTTTCTTCCTATTTTGCCTGTCTAAAATTTTGTCATGGCAAAACTTTTAATTCAATCAAATATTCATAAACTATTTAAGGGATGACAATTTGTGTCATATGATAATATTTTCTTTCAGAACTTTTAGGTTTATGTCTTCCTATGTGCATTTTTTCCCTGAGATAAAATTAACCTATCTCCAAATTTTGTTCAGTTTCTACTCAGATGAAAGGTTCACATAGACATGACATGTCTAATAAATAATGGAGATTTATTATGAACATAATCAGAGCAAAGCATCCCTTGTCCCTTAATCTAAAAATTTCAGGATACCTCATATACAGGTGATTTAAATGATGCAATGTTTGATCATCCTGGAGGACTAATTTCCAAGGTAGATTGCTTGGCACATTTCCAAGGATGAAAGCTCAAGTACTAATGGATTCATGTTAGACTTTCAATAGACAGTTGTCTACTCCCTTAGAAGTGGCATGATAAGTCATATGAAGATTGTACAGTCTTTCATTCTGTGCATAAGGTCACCATGAGTCAGAACTGACTCATCTGCACCTAACAGTAACAACTACCACAACATACTTTTTAAGACTGTTTTCATATTGATTTGGTTAAAAGTGTAAAAAGCAAATCGGTTTTACATTCAACAATCCATATACATATTATTTTGTGATATTGATTGCATTTTGCACAATGTAACAACACTCTTCCTGCTTCCTCCTTGTGTTTACATTTTCCATTCTTATCTTTCCTGTTTCTTCCAGCATTCTGACTTTTATCCCTGGGCAAGTGATGCCCTATTGATGTCATATGTTTTCTTATTCTAAAGAGAATGTACTTCCCCTCCCTGATGTTGTACATCTTAACCTTAAAGTTGAGCCTCAGGGTAAATAAGTTCAGTTTAAGGTCTGAAAAGTGTCCAGTGATCATAATCTTAGAGGTTCCAATGAACTGGCTTATTCTTCTAGCAGTTCATGGTATAGTCAGTATTCTGCAACAATGCAACTAAAATGCATCATTTAGTCCCCATTCCTCCTTATTCTTTGTCCAGTTTTTACATGTGCAGGAGGCTATTGAAAACACCATGATTCTATCATCACTACCTTAATCCACAAAGTGACATTTTATTATTTTGTTTTGGTTTTAACATTTTGAAGAAGTCTTTTGCAGGAGCTTGGTCTGGTGAATTAATTTAATCTGCAAAAGTCAAGAAAAAAGGTTTAAAAAATGATTTGGTTAAAAAATAAGTGAAATAATTTTATTCCTGATTCCAGAATCCACATAAAAATGAAATAAGAGCAATCAAAGGAATGGACTCATGAACAACCATATTTGATGAAGATGACAGACTAGAGTCTTTGGCATGGGTTGCATCTCAGCATAAAGAAAACAAAAATCCTCACCACTAGACCAATAAATACATCCATATCAATGGAAAAAAGATTGAAATGATCAAAGACTTCATTTTGCTTACTGTAACCATAAACAATCATGGAAACAATACTCAAGAAATAAAAGGACACTTTATATTAGGCACATCTGTTGCAAAAGACCTCTTTAAAATGTTGAAGGGCAAAGATGTCCGTTTGAGGACTAAGGTGCATCTGACCCAAGCCATAGTTTTCAATAACTTCATATGCATGTGAAAGTTGGACAGTGACCAAGGAAGACCTTAGAACAGATGATGCAAGTTATCGTATTCAAGGATAATACTGGAAGTATGATGGACTGCCAAAAGAACAAACAGATCTATGTTGAAATAAGCTAATCAGAATGTAGCTTCGAAGTCAGATTGTCCATACTTCATCTCTCACACTTAGACGTATTATCAAGAGGGACCAGTCACTATAGAAGGATATCATGTTTGGTAAAGGGGAAGGTCAGAGAAAAAAAGGAAGACATCCAACAAAATACATTGTGAATTGCACCATAATATCATCAGATATAGTGCCTGAAGATGATCCCCTCATGTTGGAAGGCACTCAAAATACCACTGCAGAAAACGTGTCACCTCAAAGTAAAATAGAATGTGATGACTCAAATGGAGTAAAGATTTCCTGACATTCATGTACTAATGGGGTACAACTCAAAATAAAGAGGAAATGCTGTTAACATCAATAACAATCAGAATATGGAATGTACAAAGTATGAATTTTGGAAAACTGAAAGTTGTCAAAAGGAAATGGAGCACATAAAGATCAATAGCCTAGGCATTAGTGAGTGAAAATGGACTGGTATTGGCCATTCTAAACCTGACAATCATGTGATTCTGAATAATATGCTAGAAATGACAAATGTAAGAGGATTGGCATCACATTAATCATCCAAAATAGCATCTTGAAATACAAAGCTGTCTGTGATACAATAAAATCCATATGTCTACAAGGAAGACAAGTTAATACCACTATTATCCAAATTTACCCACAAACCACCAAAATCAGTGACGATGAAATTGAAGAATT